AACATCAATCTGGTCCGACGGGGAAATTCAGTGCCGAAAAGTTCCTGTGAGGCCGACCTCACAGGGTAAAGAAATCCACACACGGCAGCCAATACTTTCATTTTGTTGACCAGCCATCCGATGAGTGGAATACTTGTTGTATATGTGGAACATGACTGTGCTTGAAATGCATGAGAGGGCTTCGCGGCTTCGGCCAAACGTTTCTGTCATAGTACCGAGTCGATGAGGCCATGCCAAGCGATTCAGGAGGATGCACAGAGGCTCAAGAGCAGTTGCTCAGTGTCTATTCGGGGATATTTTGGGGTCGGGATGCAGAGCAGGTTGGCAAGCTCGGGTATTTCGCTCTTCCCGAACCGGAATTTGAACACACAGTCGGCTTCTGTCGGTGAAGCGATGTCAAACCGGCAGGAAGGGATGCTTATGGCACGAGTTGACTGGGCTAGGCGCACAAAAAGAGCAGTCGCAAGTGGCAACAGGAGGGCTACCTCGTCACTCATTCTCAACTCATAGTGATGGACGGCATCGAGGGGACTTCAACAAAAACTATAAACGTTTGGAAAAAGTTCACAACGTGCATCCATTATCAAGTTTTCCTTGACCTGAAACTTTATAGGGTACAATTTCATTCAACGAATGGAGGTATAAATTTATGCAAGTTACTGACAGAAATCTACAGGTGCCAAACACCATCGCCACTGTCGGTGCTGTCGCCGCCGTGTTGGTCGTCGCTACCGTCACTTGCGCTGTCTTCGTCCATGGTACTGCCATTTTCCCCTCTCTCACGGTCGCCTTGCTCATTCGCTGTTTCCAGACTTTCAGCTGACGCAGCTGCGACTTCCTTAAGGCCAAGGTACGTGTGAAACACTGCCAATCTCCGATTGAACGTGGTGACACAACCGTGAATCGTGCTAGGCGCCACGTCAAGAAACGCCTTGTTCAAGCGATCAAGGACGTCTCGAAAGCTCGTTGCCTCGCAATACTGACGACCGACATCACCCTTGGTGATTGCCCATACTAACTCGATTGGTTGTAGGTCCGAGTCATACGGCGGAGTGTACGCAACGGTGTGTCCTCGAGCACTTGCATCGCAACGACGACAGGGACCACGTTGTCATCAATGTGTTTGCTCGGGTACGTCCACAACGTGCACTTCGGATCGTTGCTGTTGAATGAGATCCCGTAGGTTCTGCACGCGTTCTGAAGACGGGCTTTGGACCAGCCGTATCGGGGGGTGTCATGCGGTAAGCACTTATGATACTTGGCGTTGTCCATCGCGATTGCGACGTTAGATCGAAACAAGGCATCGAGCTCGATCGGTACCAAACAAATCCACAAAATACTCGTGGTTGAACATTGCGTGGTAGTCTTTCGGCTCCTTTTGTCGGATCTTCCCACCTTGGAAAATGTCGAGTGCAAGTAGTTTAGCTTGCTGGGGTCCACCTTCGAATATTGCCGCAATTAAGCAATCTCTTTGGCCTTTGTGTTTTGCTTTTACTTGCAAATCTTGTTCGTCATTCGTATCGTACAAACTGTCTTGATGTCGAGCGTAGTGGTGGTGGACGTACGATTCGTCCAGATAAACAACCGGTTAATTCGCGGCAGTTACTCGAGCCATCATTTCGGACACATACTTGTCGCGCAAAATGGCGTTTCGTGCGGACAGGGCAA